ATTATCGGGGCCGGCCCGGTGGCGCAAGCGGTGAGGTACACGTGTTCTGCTACAGCAGCCCAGGGTTCGCTGCTTTGGATCCAGGTGCGCACCGACGCACCGCTTGTCAAGCCATGCTGTGGCGGCGTCCCATATAAAGAAGAGGAAGGTGGGCACGGATGTTAGCCCAGGGCCAGTCTTCCTCAGCAAAAAGAGGAGGATTGGCAGATGTTAGCTCAGGGCCAAAAAAAAAAAAAAAAAATTTTTTGATTATCTTTTTTTGTTGATTTGTTGGAGTCTTGGATACGAGCCATTTGTTAGATATCTGCAAATGCAAGTACTTTTCCCAGTTTATGGCTTGCCTCTTTATTTTCTTAATAGTCTTTTGAAGGACAGAAATTTTTTTAAGTCTAGTTTGTCACCTTTTCATTTATGTTTAGTGCTTTTTGTGTTCAGACTAGTGTTCTAGCCAATGAAACCTCTTGACCTGGATAAACCATGGACATTTCAAACTCAGCATGTCTATAACTTATCTTACCTCAGATCCATTCTTTTAATAATATAAAAATAAAAGTTACTATTTTTTTAAGCATCTCCTATATTGACATGTTCTTAAGTGCTTTATATATATACTTTAATTTTTACCACGATCTGCAAGGTTGATTCTCTTTTCAGATGAGAAAACTGAGGCTGAAAAAGATTAAGTCACCCAATATTATACATTCAGTAAGTGGGAGGGCAAGGGCTTGAACAGAGGTATTTTAGGCTTCACAACCAGTTTTTTTCTCTCCTCTATACTCTGCTCCCTCCCCTGAACAGTGTTGTATATCTTTTCTCACAGTTGTTTAAGCTAGAATCCTCAGAGCCAGTTTTTTTTTTTAACATTTGATATGCTTTTTATTTTAGAATAGTTTCAGATTTACAAACAGAACCATCTTACAATATTGTTTCTCCTCACCCCTATATTCTGTTAGCTGTTGGTCACCAAGAGCTGTGAGTTCTACCTCTGAAATCCCTTATCATCTACTTACCTTTTGAAAAGGCCGTTATTATCACCTATAATAGTGCAAAAGCCTCCTCCCACTTTCCAGTCAGTCCCTGCTGCCAGCATTAGCTTTCTAAAGCATGAATCCAGCAATTTTAAAAACAGTTTAATCTTCTGCCAGCTTTCTATTGCCTCCAAGATACATTCCAAACTCTTTGACAGAGCAGGTCATATGTCTGGCCCTTCCCTACTCTGATCTTCTGTGCCGCCTCTCCTCCCTAATTCACCCCTATTCTAGTCCCAGTGACCTGTTTATATTAACCAAGATATATCTTCTTGCCTCGACCAGAGGGGTTTTTTCCCTCTTATTCAACTCATCCTTCAAAACTCAGAAGCTTTTTTGGGTTCTCCACACCAGAGTTGTTGTTTCTCCTCACTTTTTATGGCTCCTGAAAGACAGAAGCTTCTGCATCCTAGTGGGTTTTTTTTTTTTTTTTTTTGCATAGCTTTGATTTTTAAATACTTTTTATTTTCACCAAAATAAAAAATCAAATAGTACTAAGATTTTATATAAATGCAATGCTGGGATGTCTTGCCCCTTCTCTGAGTCCCACTGCCCAGGGCAGCCACTTTCAGCTTCACTGTTTCTAGATTAAAAATACGTGCATTTCTGTTTCTTCATTTTCTGTTGCAGACATATTTTGACTTCCTGCTAAGGTAGATGAGTATTTTTACACTATTTCTCCACTCAGTTAGTTACTCTTTCCTTTTGGTCTGATATCACTTTATTCATGGTTCTATTGTAGCAAATGCCCAAGACACATTCACAGACACGTACTCCCTCATGCAAAATAGTCATTTCCATATCTGAGTCCTCAGCTATTCTATATACTCCTCAAGCCTCAGACTCTGTCTCTGCTGCCACACCCGAACCCAGTACAATACCTGGCTCAAAATGAAAACTGGCGTTTTTAAAGGTATTTCTGTACTTGCTTTTTGAGTGAATAAATGAATGTGTTTCCTTACCAAACAGCTAGTTAGCATATGCTTGGTTGTATTGGACAGGAAGTTTTAAGAGACTTAGATTCTAAGCCTAGTCCCCCCTGCAGGGCCCACTCTATGGTCTCAGCCTCATGGAATAATAGGATAAGAGGACTCTGGTGGAACCAAAACATAGTGTTATTAAGACTTGCTTCCTTTTTTTTTTTTTTTGTGAGGAGATCAGCCCTGTGCTAACATCTGCCAATCCTCCTCTTTTTTTTTGCTGAGGAAGATGGCCCTGGGCTAACATCTGTGCCCATCTT